TTCTCCGTGTCTTGAGTGACTGGTCTTCCCACCACTCAAGTGACAACTCGTGTGCCTGTCTTTCAGAGCGGCCCTCCCTGAGTTCCCCCTCCACCAACCCAGCTCCCTCGTATGAAAACTACCTTGCTAGGTAGTTTTCACATCACTTACTAACATGGGGTTTTAAAATGTATGTCTACTGTATGTGTACTATTGTTGTTTATTATTGTATTTTGTCATCCATCTCTCTGCTGGTGAATTTAAGCTCTGAGAAGACAAGGACCCTGTCTGTCTTTCTCTCTCTCTAGCACCTAAAACAGTATTGGGCAAAAGGCAAGCTCTCAATAAAAACTTGTTGACTGTATGAGTTCTTCCCATCAGACGGGTGTGCAAAAAAAACCATGAGATACAAATGCAAGGGAATAAACCTCTTTTATCCATATCTTCTTATAAAGTAAGCATTCAGAATAATCCCAGGACTTAAAGTGAGTAGGATTTTTTAAGGTCGAGGCAGCATTATTGAGGATCAGAGAGGAGCCTGGATTCAGGTGAGGGGCCCAGAGCACAAGAGCTCATTTGCATCCATCCTTCAGCCATTTCTTGGACTTCACTGATACAGGGTGACAGTGGTGCTTAGATGGCCCGCCCTCCCCTGTTGCAGGGATCCAAGAGCAGCCGGGCATGTAGCCTTGGCCGGGCAGTATCTTTAATCTCACTCGAGTGGCACTAAGTAAGCATCTCCTCTCAGCACGCGTGCGCCTCCCTTGCTAACATTTCCTCGTGCAGCAGTTGCCATGGTACCAACCTGCCTGGTTGACGTCTAAATATAGTGATAAAAGATTTTCTGCTCTCAACTACTAAAAGACAAATTTGAGGAGCAAAGAAAAATAAATGTTCTGTGCTATTATTTTTTTGAGGGGGGAGGGTAACATTTTATCTATTATTTTTCAAATGTAAGGAAAAGAGTGATTTATAGTTTTTATTTATATTTAAGAGGTTATTTGTTGCATTATCATATTGATGTATTGAACTTTGTTTTTTTTAAAGATCATAAGCTTATTTGGAGGTGGGGGGTAATAAACAGCTATGTTTTAGAATGATTATTTTAGTAATTCTCAAGTAAGTATGACATGCATGGAATTAACCCAGGAGAGACATCCTGTGATAGCTCAAAACGTTTTAGGCCGAGGGGAGAAAATACATATTAAGGATAAAATGGGGGTGGGGTGTGGATATGTCTATCCAAAGCCATAACTCAAAGAGAAAGGAGACACTGCATTACTTCATTACCACAGTAAACCTTCTATCATAGGACACTACAGTTTAGGAGAAGCTAAGATGACAATGTTTTGCAATGGTCATATTCATTAAAAGGCCTTTGAATGCAACATAAAAATTTGTTCCTTCCCTTTTCCAGAGTACTGAGCAACAACTTGAACTTTGAGAGAACTCACAAAATGTGAATCAGAGAGAAAAGGTAGTGTATTAAATCATAGAAGTGCCAGTTTGGCTCTGGAATCATAAAGTGTTCATGTAAAGCAGATAAATTTATTTTAAAATTAGCCCCTTTGAACAACACGCCAAACAAGTTACCCTTTCTCTAGGGAGAGCCCTTCCCTTAGACAAGGTTATGCAGGATCCCTGGGCTTGGAGTCAGAACCCTGAGAGATTCTGGCTGTAGAAGTGGCTCTGTCTGTGTATTCTTTATCCCCAGGCTCACTCCAGGCCTGGCACACAAGAAGAGTCTCCGTAGTCAAGTGTGGTGCCTTTGGAGAATGCTGAGAGAATCTGCACAGTAGTCCCTCTGAGGCTAGTGTCCCAATAGTGAAATGGGGTTTCACCAAGACTCTGTCAGTGTCATCACATCTCAGGCTGTGTGCCCTGGGGAACCCAACTCCAATGTCTTGGAAATGAATGGCTTCAGAGGTAGAGAATGGGGCCGTGCGGAGTCCCCCTCAACAGGTCAGGTGTGAAAGAAGCACTGAGAAGCTGCTACTTGCTGTCGGGGCTGCCATGGCCCTGGAGCTGTGTCCCTGTCGGCCCCCATACAAAGTCTGGGAGAGGGAGCCTTGGGTGTGCTAGCCTTGTGTGCGTCTAATGCATCAAGCAGTGGGCTCATTGTGTTCTGTTTACACAACATCCCATTTAACATGGCTGCCTCAGTGGTGAGCTGGGAGGGCACAGTGTTCACATGGGGGCCCTATGTTTGTCTTCCATTCTAGACTCAGTGGGGTCTCTTCCATTTCCCTCACCAAAAACAAATGCTCAGTACCCTCAGCTGCACCTGTTTCTTTCTACCACCAAAAAAAATCTGAAAAATTAATTTCCACTAAGATGTTAATCACTTAGTAGATTTCAACATCAGGGAGTATTTACTTTTTTGTGTGTGAGGAAGATCAGCCCTGAGCTAACATCCGATGCCAATCCTCCTCTTCTTTGCTGAGGAAGATTGGCCCTGAGCTAACATCTGTGCCCGTCTTCCTCTACTTTATACAGGACACCGCTATACCATGGCTTGACAAGTGGTGCGTCAGTGTGCTCCCAGGATCTGAACCTGCAAACCCTGGGCCACCGAAGCAGAGCACGCGCACTTAACCGCTGCGCCACTGGGCCGGCCCCAAGGAGTATTTACTTTTGAAAAGATAAATGGATAAATAGGATAATATTTAATCCAAAGACCTAAATTGCTAATTCCCACTCTAGCTGTCTCTCAAAATATTCATATAGCCATTTAACTGTTCTATGTACACATAAGGCTGAGTGAAGGAACTAGTCATTTCAAGTTCAGCCAGAGGAAAGTCATGTCAGAGAAGAAGAATAAAGCCATTGAATTTGGTTAAGACTGAAAGTGAACTTTTTGGGACGTCTCAAAAGTCACTATCTTTGACTCCATATTTTTTTTTCTGTGATTTATGATTTAGTGCATCATTAATGAAACCAATTGTCCCTCATTGATTGCTTATGAATTTGGGATAACAGATTTTTGGGGAGAAGAGGGAGAGGTAAGGTAAGTAGGAGCAATGTGTTGAACTCTCATTCAAATCCTTCTGCCAAATCTTCTGCCTTTTTTGCACCTGCAATTATTTTCTTGTCCAATACTCTCATATGATGACCCCAGCCCTGGCCTGTCCATTATTCTTTAGTTTCACATTTTGAAGGCCTTAAGTAGTTTTCCACTTCTCTACTTTACCATCATCCTCAACCCAAGTGAACATAAAACCTAACTTGCAATCCTTGCCCATAAGTATCCTTTCCCAATATCACCATTTTTATCAACAGTCCTACCCTACCGTAGAGCCATTTTTAATTTACATTAAAAAATTTTTTTCCTTCAAAATTTATCTTAGCTTGGTCACTTTCTCTCTAGTTTAGTGTCAGCTCTCAGGCCTAGAATGTCCTCACGAGTCCCAAGAGGGGACCCACCTCTCAGTTTCAGCCTGTAAACTCCTTGGGGAGCCTGCTCATCTATCTACACTCAGCACCATGAACAGTGTCTGGCACAGAGTAGGCATTTAATAGATACTTACTGGATGACAAATACGCACAGGGCTTATAGCTCCTAATTTAGACTTTAAAGTTATCCCTAAACGAGCTTACACAGAAGATGTTTATCATACAAATTTAAGCTTTTATTCCATTGTCGGACCACATCTCCAGTGTATATACTATTTTTTTTCCTTTTAATCTGGGCAAATGCAATTTCTCTGTATGGTCAGCTCTTCTTTCTCCAACACCTGTGAGGATGTGTGCTGGTTAAGTGAATGAAGGAATGACCCCTGACTTCAAGGACACTGGAATGCAGTGGGAAGACAAATCTATAAACATAAACCAGAGAATTATACAAAAGGAGGAACATCAGTTGTGCAACATTCTCTGACTGTATTGTAAAAATTATGGCAGTTAAGGAAAATGAGTGATCTGAACTAAAGTTATTGGAGAAGGTTTTAGATGGAATTAAGCCTGAATGAATATAACAAAACCAGTGCGGAGATGTGGTTTAGACTGGGAAATGGCTCAGGCAGGAATGAGAATTGCACCCTCACAGGCTTTGGGGGAAGAAGAGCTGACCAAAAGAGACAAATAGTTTTGGCCTAATCGATCCTTTGGCTTCCAGAGCACCTATGGCAGATGATGCTCCTGAGCCCTTACCTTTGCCCAGAGTGTGGACCATGGCACAGGCATGATGGGGTGCAAGTGTACATAATCCCCGGAACCTGGTTAACTCCTCTGAGGATTGCACTCCAGGTATGGCGCCTCATAGGTGATTGTCATTCCTGCCTGAGCCTTTCCCCAAGCCATTCCCCATCTAAACCACCTCTTCCCACCAGTTTTGTTATATGCATTCAGGCTTAATTCCACCCAAAAGCTCCAATTCAGATTACTCATTTTCTTTAACTGCCATAGCATTTACATGAAGTCACAGAATGTCGCACAACTGACTTTCTTCTTTTTATATAATTCTCTGGTTTATATTTATAGTTTTGTCTCCCTACTGCATTCCAAGTGTCTTTGAAGTCAGGGGTCATTCCTTCATTCATTTAACAAGCACATCCACTAAATCATTCACCTCTCTAATCAAGTGGAAGAAAAGGCACTGAACAAATAAACATACATATGGATATACAATTATAAATCATGACAAGCAAAAGAGGAAAAGAACAATATAAGCAAAAGATATTTTGCTTAGTGATCGAGGAGGAAATTGGTAGAAGATGATATAGAACAATTAGTCAGGAGAGCATTCATGGAGTGTCTCAAAAGTCACCATCAAGTGTCTCAGATTTTATTCTGAGCATAAAGGAGGCCAATGGAAGGATTTAAGCAAGAGAGTGACATAATCTGTTATAATTCTGTCACATATTTCTACGAAGCAACCAGTCCAACTTAGACATACAGTAAAGTTTGTCACTCAGTTCATGTGAAAGAAAGAACAGAGAGTAATGGCAATTGAATTGAGTTAGCACCAAAGTACCTTCGGATGGACATGCTCAGAGTGACCCTCTACTATTATAAAGGAACAAATGCTAGAAAAGGCTACAACTTGTGAGTTGAATTCCTTTTTTCCCTTTCCCCTGGAAATTTCATCAACTTAAATAATCTGGTCAATTTACATAGATGGCTACAGTTACCAAATTTACAGTCCAATCATTGTTCCTAAACAAATTTTATTTTGGAGAGAAATTTTTTATCAAAGAGTGATTTTTAACATGTTTAAACTCTTTAATGAGTTGAAGCAACTTATGTCTCTGTCAGTTGAGAAAAAAAATCCCAAACACATAAAAAGTATATTATCTTCTCCACATGCTCTTTGAAGATGCAGCTGGCTAAAATTATGTGATATGGTTCCTTAATATCTTGAAGTCTCTCTCTCAGTCTATTCAAACATACAGATCAGCTGTGATGACTTATTTCCTTCATTCAGTCAACAAGTAGGTATTAAGCACCTATGTGATGCAGAAGGATCTGTTTTAAATATTGTTGGGGCAAAATCCTGGGGATGAGCAGTATCATAGAAATGCATTCTTCTGCTGTCTCTTTGCCTTATTTACCTGGCCTATTTGTAGATCCTGAATTTGATTTCCATTGTTACTGTCTTTGAATATAAAACTGAATGTGAAATTTAATTTCCATTGACCCTACAGCTGGTGTTTGCCTCACAAGGGGAAAGAATCTATCATCTTCTAAATGAGCTTTCAGTTCATGGCAAATCCATTTGAATGTTGATGTTTTCCATTCTGCTTTGCATCTTGCCAATCTTTTGGGTGCAACAGACCTAATATTTGTGTTCTCAGCAGCTGGATTGTTATATAACTAATTTAATATTTGACAGCACTTTATTTCAACGATAAAATATAGTTACTAGCATCTTTGAGGCAAGATAAAGTCTCACAAGAAAAAAGAACATTTTTTTTAAGAATGTCAACGCAACCTTAAAAATGAAAATCTCACTTCTGTTACCCTCACAAATGCATTATCTTTTAATCCTAATGGAGCATTTTTCTACCTGAAAACTACCTGAAACTTAGGCATAAATGACAAATACACCTTTTAAATATTTTCTTTAACTCACTAGCTCAAAGCCATGATATTTAGTCATTCACTGAATCCATCATTCTATGTAATGAAATTATCTCATCATTTTCACCAGATAGTAATCCCTATGCATTTTATTCTCTATTGAGCTATTTCACTAGCAGCTTAGGGGCTAAGAGTGAGGTTTCTGGAGACAACAGGTTTGGGTTAGGGTTAGGGTTAAAGTAGGGTTTAGATTTAGGCTTAGAGTTAGGGTTAGGGTTGGGATTAAGATTAGAGTTAGTGTCCGCGTTCAAACTTTGTTTTCTTTTTACCTTCTAGACATATTTTATCACCAAGAGGAAGGTATTTAATTTAATTGGAGCTGAGTTTCCTCCTTACACAAATAGGATATTAATAGTGCTTGAAGTATGTAATTGTTTTACAGATTAAATGCTTAATACATACAAAGTGCTCAGAAGAGTTCCTGACACAAAGGAAGAATTCAATAAGGTTCGCTTTACTTCTGCCAAATGTAAATCTGACAACAATGCTAGGACTAGTCAATATTTCTTTAAGATAAATGCCTATTTTGAAGTCTTCCTAATGACGGAAAAGGAAGAGTGAGCAGCTGTGCAGAGCCCCCTCCCCACCTGCTTCCGAGCCTGCCCTCTGAGCTCTACAACACAGCACTGCAGGGTTGTGTCACTGCGCGCCGCCCCCCCCCCCCCGCCGCGCTCACCTGGAAGTGCAGCTCTACCTTCCAGAGCCACCCAACTTACAGGGGAGGTGTCACTTCAGTGTGAGGAGATTCCAGTTCAGAAGCAGATTACAAATTGAACCCATCAAGTGGCATTGCAAAGCCCATTGACTCAGACAGCTTGGAAGGAAGGGTTTTTTCTGGGCTCCCTCACTCTGAAGTATAACAGGTTTGAACTAAAACCTGTCTTCCAATTCCAGTCATGTCTTTCATCAGCAGCTACCAGCCAGGTTGACGTTCTGATAGAACAGGGATTTGGAAACACACGCATAGGTACTGCAGCCACCTGAGACCCTAATAATGTCTCCTAAGGTAAGAAGCCAAGGTCAACATCTTTACACTGGGTGTCATTTCAGTCAGCCAAAGAGTCCATAGAAATTCAAAGCTAAACACGCATACACACGGAAAGAAAGAAGACAGAAGAAAGAGAGAGAGGAAGGGAGGGAGGGAGAGAGGAAGGAAGGAAGGAAAGAAGGAAGGAAGGGAAAGAGAGAGAAAGAAAGGAAAGAAATAAAGAAAAAAGGAAAGAAAGGAAGGAAGGGAGAGAGAGAAAGAAAGAGAGAGAAAGAAAGAAAGGAAGAAAGGAAGAAAAGGAAGGAAGAAAAAGAGAGAGAGAGAAAGGAAGGAAGGAAGGAGGGAAGAAAGAGAAAAGAAAAGAAAGAAAGAACGGGGGGAGGGAGGAAGAGAGGAAGGAAGACCACAGGAATATTCCTGTGAAAACTTTCCTGGCTAGAAACCCCTATCCTGACAGTGCCCTCTGGTCCTGTAGCTGTCGTTCACTTGTCCTCCTAAGGTTTGGGGCTGACTTGCATTTATTATCTACATGTGTGGTTCTCAGGCTGGGGGCCAAGACTTCTGGAATAAACTAAGGCGCTTCAGGGAGGGAAACAAAGGTGTCTGTGAAGATAGGAAAAGGGGAAGAAAATAACATTTGTGTCCTACATAGTTTCATCTAATAAAGTGGCGTAAGTGGGTCAGTCTGTTACTCACTGTGCATTCCTTAGCCGCCCTTGATGTCACCTAATTCTAACCAGCTATAACATACCAGGAGAGGAACTGTGCTCAGATGTGCAAACTATCTTTCTCACAGGCAACATATTATCTTCAAGAGAGAAATTCCTCTTTGAATTTGGAAGTACCAGTGGCCCTCAGGGCAAGGTGACTACTTAACTCAAGGAGAAGTGTCCTTCTGGGATTTTGACACACTTCTAAGGAGCCCAAGGTCATTTTCAAATACCTTGCCAGGAATCAGAGAGGAGGACACTTACCTTTTGAAAGAGTCTGGTCTCATTTAGGCCAGTGGAGTTTTGTGTTGATTAATGGAATAGTGAACTATTTCCTAAAGAATGTGGCAACAATTTTGAAAAATTCGTTCACCTTCAGAAGGTGAAAGGAATATAAGTTGGTGCAGCTCAGGCGCTCAAAATAGCTCCTGACGTAGATAGTGATTATCAGTTTTATTTTTCAAATGGGGAAACTGAGTCACGAAATATGGATGATCTTGTGTAAGTGTTCAGGATTGTGTCTGTGTCTCTTATGCTGAGCGCAGATGTGGCGGAGTACAGGGATAATGATAACCAACATGACTAAGTTCTGGGTACTGCTGGATGCTTCCTAAGTGTTTTATAGGGTGCATCTTCACAAAAGCTCTAGGAAGTTGGTGCTATTTTTGTCTTTGTTTTATAAGTTAAAAAAAAAAATGTGGCTCAGAGAGGTTTAATGTGGCAGAGCTAGGATCTGAACTGAGGCAACCTCTCTGTGAAGTCTGTGTTCCTAGCTGCTACTGCCCTGAAGTAAGGGACAGAACTGCAACGACTGGCTTTTAGCAGTGGAAAGAGGATGAGAGAAATATCAAGAGAGGGCATATAAGGGGGAGGGCGAGAGGAAGAAGGATGCTTTCAGCTGAGAAAAGTAAGGGTCTGTGGGGAGCACACTGAGAGCAAGATGGAAGAGGCAGGGGATGGAAACAGTGCTGTCTTCCCAAAGGCAAGAAACCGGCTCCCCTTTTCCGTGTCACGGCTGCCAAGGAATGTAAGGTATGTGCTGAAAAAAATTATCAATAGCAGAAAAATGATCTGATTCCTTGAAGAAATAGGTTGCCTCAAATAATACATTTAAATGTCTGTATAAAAAATGACCACAATTCAGAAGAAAGGAAATATAAGCCAGCCAAAGTCAGAGAATCTGAAAAAGTACCACCCATTTTTCCTCTTGCTGATCCTCCTTCTCCCAGTGGCTATTGAGGACCGGAAGCACGACACTAGCTTCCACCGCGATGCCTGAGCCGGGGCGGGGGATGGGGGGGTGGCCAGGACGGGTGGAAGGAATGGCTTCTCTCCCTGAGGCAGAATGCAGCAGTCGTCATTGAATGAACACACTGTTAATTGATACATACCTAAACTGAGTCTGGTGTGACCTCTTGACCCGGTTTATTTCCATTTTCAGTGAGAGATTGAGCTACACCAAACCAGGACCTTTACGTCATCATCAGTTTTACTACATGATTTGAGGACACATAAAATTCTTTGTCTACAGCTTTAGGGTTAAATCTTCCTGGAGATTAAAACACCCACATTGGCTATGAGACTATAAATGGAGATTATGTATGTTGAAGAGATGTCATTGTCCATTTCCAGCTGCGTATCTGGAGTTGATGCCTCCATGAGGGTCCCTAACTGTGTGTGAGAGTGTGGGGTGTGCATGCATGTGCGTGAGCATGCAACTACAGAGGTGATGGATGTGGGATCTTCCATAGGCTGGCATGAGGGAACCACATATGGTCAAAGAGGGTAAAGGAAAGAAATAATTGTCCATTTGAGTAGAAAAATGTGGTCATTAAAACCTGAGAAGGGAAATCTGGGTCATTTTCAATAAAAAACAAACTTTTTTCATCACAAAGATAACTTTCCGTGGGCCTCACTAAAGCAGCTTCCTGATATTTACTTTGTGCTCCTACAAAAAGAGTAAACCTAGAGTGATTGAGCTGAGAATACCCATGTAGCTGCAAGAAAGATTCAGGCTCCCTTTCCCTGCACCACTGACTACGTGTGCGACCCTCTGGAAGCTGTTTAGTCTCTCAGCCTCCGTGATCTTACAGATAGGAAAGAGGTAATAGTAGTGTCTAGCTCAATGTCTTTGTGGGAGGACAAGAGAAGAAGCTCTGCAAAGTGCTGACAACAGCTTCAGCACATAGTAAGCCTTCAGGTGTTCACAGTGTCGTGTCATTGTCCACACCATCTGAGATTTCTGGCTCTACACAGATACTTTAAAGGACAACACAAGGAAGGAATATTACGAGCCAATATTGCTGATGAACATAGATGCAAAAATTCTCAGCAAAATATTGGCAAACCAAATATAGCAATACATTAAAAAGATTATATACCATGATCAAGTGGAATTTATACTAAGGACTCATGGATGGTTTAATATTCACAAATCAATCAATGTGATATACGACATTAACAAAATGAGGAATAAAAAGCATATGATCTTCTCAATGGATGCAGAGAAATCATTTGACAATAACCAACATCCATTTATGATAAAAACTCTCAATAAAATGAATATAGAAGGAAAGTACTTCAACATAATAAAGGCCATATATGAGAAATCCACAGCCAACATCATACTCAATGGGGAAAACTGGAAGCAATCCCTCTGAGAACAGGAACAAGACGAGGGTGCCCACTCTTGCCACTCCTATTCAGTATAGAACTGGAGGTTTTGGCCAGAGCAATTAGGTAAGAAAAAGAAATAAAAGGTATCCAAATTGGAAAAGAAGAAGTGAAACTCTCGCTGCTTGCAGATTACATGATTCTGTATATAGAAAACCCTAAAGAATCCATCAGAAAACTATTAGAAATAATCAACAACTGCAGCAAAGTTGCAGGGTACAAAATCAACTTACAAAAATCAGTTGCATTTCTATATGCCAACAACGAACTGACAGAAAGAGAACTCAAGAAGACAAACCCATTTACAATCTCAACAAAAAGAATAAAATATCTAGGAATAAATTTAACCAAGGAAGTGAAAGACCTATATACTGGAAACTATAAGATATTATTGAAAGAAAAGAAGATATAAAGAAATGGAAAGATATTCCATGCTCATGGATTGGAAGAATACACATAGTTAAAATGTCCATATTACCTAAAGCAATCTACAGATTCAATGCAATCATTATCAAAGTTGCAACATTTTTCACAGAGATAGAACAAAGAATCCTACAATTTATATAGAACAACAAAAAAGCCCAAATAGCCAAAGCAATCCTGAGAAAAAAGAACAAAGCTGGAGGCATCACAATCCCTGACTTGAAAATGTACTACAAAGCTATAGTAATCAAAACAACATGGTACTGGTAGAAGAACAGACACATAGATCAATGGAATAGAATTGAAAGCCCAGAAATAAACCCACACATCTACTGACAGCTAATCTTTGACAAAGGAGCCAAGAACATACAACGGAGAAAAGAAAGTCTCTTCCATAAATGGTGCTGGGAAAACTGGACAGCCACATGCAAAGGAATGAAAGTAGACCATTATCTTACAACATACACAAAACTTAACTCAAAATGGATTAAAAACTTGAATGTGAGACCTGAAACCGTAAAACTCCTAGAAGAAAATATAGTCAGTGTACTCTTTGACATTGGTGGTAGCAGCATCTTTTCAAATTCTCTGTCTACTCAAGCAAGGGAAACAAAAGAAAAAGTAAACAAATGAAAGTACAACAGGCTAAAAATCTTCTGCACTGCAAAAGAAACCATCAACAAAATGAAAAGACAACCCACCAACTGGGAGAAGATATTTGCAAATCATATATCTGACAAGGAGTTAATCTCCAAAATATATAAAGAACTCATACAACTCTACAACAAAAAAACAAAGAACTCGACCGAAAAATGGGCAGAGGATGTGAACAGAGATTTTCCCAAAGAAGGTATACAGATGGCCAACAGACACATGAAAAGATGTTCAACATCACTAATTATTAGGGAAATACAAATGGAAACTACAATGAGATATCACCTTACAGCTGTTAGAATGGCTATAATTAACAAGACAAAAATAACAAATGTTGGAGAGGATGTGGAGAAAAGGGAACCCTCATACACTGCTGGTGGGAATGCAAACTGGTGCAGCCACTATGGAAAACAGTATGGAGATTTCTCAGAAAATTAAAAATAGAACTGCCGTATGATCCAGCTATCCCACTACTGGGTATTTATCCAAAGAACTTGAAATCAACAATTCAAAGAGATTTGTGCACCCCTATGTTCATTGCAGCATTATTCACAATGGCCAAGATGTGGAAGCAACCCAAGTGCCCATCAACTGAGGAATGGGGTAAAGAACATGTGGTATATATACACAATGCAATACTACTCAGCTACTCAAAAATCATCCCATTTGCAACAACATGGATGGACTTTGAGGGTATGATGTTAAGTGAAATAAGCCAGACAGCAAAAGACAAACACCGTGTGATTTCACTTGTATGTGGAAGATAAACAAACGCATGGCTCAATAGAACAGATAAGTGGTTACCAGAGGGGATAAGGTTGGAGGGGGTGGGCAAAAGGGTTAAAGGGGCACATATGTGTGGTGATGGATAAAAATTAGACTATTGGTGGTGAGTGTGATGCAGTCTATACAGAAACTGATATAATAATGTACACCTGAAATTATACAATGTTATAAATCAATATGACTTCAATAAAATAATTGAAAGAAAAAGAAAGAGTAAAATGATTTCATTAGACAGTTAATTAAAGTGTATGTCCATCCAGACGAAGGTCTCACAACATTGGGAATTTGAGAATCACATATGGAATATTTTAAACTGAAGCCCAGTTAAAAAAAGATGAGAAATCCTGAGATCCATAAAACTTAGACAATTGCCCAAGATCCCATAACCCTGTCGACTGATTACCTACCCCAAGTTTATTCTCCTATAGATCACTTCTTGAACACACCTACATCATTTGTGTCTAGGTGACAAATATTCACTAAGTGGCCCATTTTGAGTGATCTAAAATTAGAAACAATCAATAAAGAACATTGTTCATCATATTTGGAGAGAGATAATTAAGGCAATTTCTGAGAGAGCACTTTTCTTATTTTAATGAAAACGTATTTAGCAAATTAAAACCTGCTCCGTGGTGCACTCCATTTCAGATGGTGCTAGGTACAGTGTAGTATTGGGAATGACATGACATCTGCCTGCCCCCTACTCAGTGAGTATATCTACAAATGATCAATAAGTAAGACAACATAAATAATTGTTATCCTTACTAGGGCAATTTCTTGATATTGTAAGATAAACTATAGAATTTCAGAACTGAAAAGAAAAGTAGAGACCATTTATCTAACACTGGTTTTACAGATAAGGAAATAGAGCTCTAGCAATGCCTAATGCCCCACAAGTATCAACTTTGCATTTCATGTTTAAGTAAAAGTACTGAAAGTAGTAGAAGAAGCTCTTAAGCAAGAGCTCATTGAGTGACAGGTACCTATTTTATGTATTTAAAACATCATCATCCCAACACATTGTTTGACCTCTCAGTATTTTGTCTTAAAAGCATGACAAATGTGATGGGGAGGAATAGCTGGCCTTAAGAAGTGTGCCCTCAGCTACTGTGCATCATTCTGCATTTGTGAAGAGCTTCAGGAAAGGGAATCCTAGGCTTCCTGACTTGCCCTGTGCTCAAGTTTTACCTGAGTAGACCAGATGGAGAATAACAGTTTCCATCACAAGCAGTTGCACTGGTTACATATTACTCTTAGTAGTGAGTAGTTACATGCTACTCAAAACATTACATTATTTTAAGATTAAAGCCAGAATCAAGTGAAAAAAATGCTCTGATTGATGAGGCTTCTAAGGATTTTCCCCACCACTGAGATTGCAGAAATAAATCCTCACTCCAGGGAGAGGTCATGCCGTGGCTCACAGGGAAAAGAACATCTTACTCTAGGCTTAATCTGACTTAGCAACACCATTTTTTTGTAATAACTCTTTCCATGGCTCATCTTTTACTCTTAAGAACAATCCTTATAACCAATGAAGGGAAGAATTTTAAGTCTCCTTGGAGATCTGGAAAAACATAAAATTTGCTGAATTGATAATTCTGGCTTTCTCCCACATTAATTCTACAGATCTAACAAAAATTTCAGAGAAGACAGCTCCGTGACTGGAGTAGCAAGATAATTTTAAGGGAACAATCAAGATGAGCAGTAAAGCAAGTAGATCTGGTTTTAAATTTTTTCTACTAAAAATATAAATGTGTAGAATACAAATATTTTTAGAAAAATACTTTACACATAGCAGAAATTATTTATCAAGGATTATGGAATCTCTCTTGCATTTTATTTTATTTGTGGTTTTATATAGTGGTTGTCAATTCCACTACTTCCCATTTACCATCTGCATGTACATATAACAGTCTTCTGGTTCAGAGGGCAGAAAACATATCGTCCCTTTATCTCAAAGCACTTGTTTTTGCTTTTGCCATTAATTAATTGACTGGCATGGATGTCAAGTCTAATATAATCATCATCACCTGGATGCTCACATCCTTTCAAAACTATTGCACTGATGTGCCAAGTCCACTGATCTAATGAACCAGTTGGGTCCCTTGGTAAGTAAACTCTACCAGAATGGTAGTACCTTGATGATGTTATTATGACCTAATCAAAAAGAACTTAAAACCTAAATCCACACAGTTTTTCTTCAAAGAATGACAACCTAACTAAAACTAGATCAGGATTTTTTTAAGTGATATCTGAAGAAAAAAAGGCATAATTAAGCAAATTATTCATACAAAAATGCCACTTGACCCTCCAGCAATACCAGACTGCCTATAGTTCCCCGCATGGGTGATGCTATTTTCTACTCCTTGTCTTTGCTTAGCCTGGCCTCCACTCCTGCTGGGGTAGCCTTCCTCTTCCCAATCTTTTTAGCTGATTAAGACTTGCTTATACTTTTAAAATCTAGCTCAGTTATCATTTCCTTCTGATAGCTTTCCCTGTTCATCCCCCACTTTGCCTCTAAACACTATTCTTTCTTCTTAGTGCTTCTGTAATTCCCTGCTGCCTCTGTATATCTCTGTCAGAGCTCTTCCTCATTGTATCAGAAGTATGTCTTTTTTTTTTTTTTAATTTTTTGTTTATTGCACTAACATTGGGTTATAACATTGTATAAATTTCAGGTGTACATCATTATACTTCTATTTCTGCATAGATTATATCATGTTCACCACCCAAATACTAATTACAACCCATCACCACACACGTGCCGAATTATCCCTTTCACC